TGTTTTAGGCAGGGTTTCACTGTGTCACCAGGGCTGGTCGTCAACTCACAAATCTCCCTCCTTAGTTCCAGCTACAAGTGTTGTGACTATTAATGGGTTTATTGATTTTCCAATCTCTTCCTTCATGAGAATTACTTCGTTGTACTTTATATTGGGGGAGCTAAAAAGCATTCCTCATTCTACTACAATAAATATTTATTCTGTATTCCTGATAGTTTATAAAAAAAAAAAACTTTGCTGTCCAGAACATGTTATTGGTAATGAGGTAAATAATGCATTATCCAATTTTGGAAATCCTGTTTATGTTTATGAAGTATACTTGGTGACTTGTGTTAAATGTGTTGTGGAGCCTCTTTAGGGTGTTCCTGGTGGTCTGCAATGAGGCTTCCTAATGCGTGAATTTTGTTAATCTCACATCAATCTGGTTTGCTTCAATGGACATTATAAAAGTTGGTTTCCTTCTCTTGTTTTCACATAGGCTTGGTGATTTTTATTCTTGCTTGTGTAAGTTACTTGAAACTATGATGAAATCTTGCAAATTTTTTCTCAGAATAACACGAGATCTTTAATTTATTCAGTAGAAAACCTTGCACACAATCAGAGACCCCGTAAAGCTTTTTCAAATTTCTATTATAAGTTTCTGCACTTAGTTGTATATATATATATATGTATAATATATATGTATATATATATATATACATATATATATGTATATGTACACAATTGTCTATATTTTGGTTTCCCCCTGTCTGGCACAACATTTTGTACTTTGTATTATCCTAATAAATAAATCATTTTTTAATGAATAAAGAAACTACTATGTTGCCAGTGAGACTGTATGCCAGGCACAGAAATTCTCCATTTTAAAGAGTATATGTTTTTGAAAAATTAGGATTCTTCCATAGCAGTACTAAAATACCATACAGCCAGTGCTTGGGGGTTTAAATTGCATATGTCCTCATTTTCCTTCTGTAGACATTTTCTCTCTCTCTCTCTCTCTATCTCGTATATTATTTATTTTTGTTTTTATCTTTATTTTACATATCGATCCCAGTTCCCTCTCCCTCCTTCCCTCTTTCCCTCTCTCCCACCCTCTCATGTCCCCCGACCACCCTCCCCTCCCATCCCCCCTCCACTTGTAGGGTGATGCCCTCCAGGAGGGGTCATCTAAATCTGTCAAGTTATTTGGAGTAGGGACTAGGCCTTCTCTCCTGTCTCTAGGCTAAGGGAGTATCCCTCCATGGGGAATGTGCTCCCAAAGTCCTTTTGTGCACCAGGAATACATCCTGGTTCCACTGTCTGAGGTTCCTTAGACTGCAAAAGCCTTCTAGCTGAGACCCATGTTCAGAGTGTCGAAGTCAGTGCCATGCTGGATTCCCAGCTATCAGCCTGGGGCCCAGTAGTTCCTCCTTGTTCAGGTCGGCCATCTCTATGCGCTTCTGCAGCCTGGTCTTGTCCTCCCTCTCTGCATCTGGATTCCAATTCTGCTTAGTGTTTAGTTGTGGGTGTTTGCTTCTGTTTCCATCAGCTACTAGATGATGGCTCTCATTATCAGGGAAGGGAATTTATGGTAGCCTTCCCACTGTTGCTCAAATTGTTAGTTGGGGTCAGTCTTGTAGGTCTCTGGACATTTATCTAGGTTCAGTTTTCTCTTGAAACCTATAATGGCTCCCTCTTTTATTCTCCCCCCCTCTTCTCTCATCTATTCCTCCCCTACTCAATCTTACTAGTCCAACGTGCTCTCCTTTCCTACCTTTCTCTTTCTCCTAGTTCCCTCTCCACTCACTGACCCCCCCACTCCCCATATGTTCAGGAGATCTTGTCCCTTTCCCCTTCTGTGAGGGACCTTATATGAATCCCTTGAGATCCTCCCTGTATCCCAATTTCTCTGGCAGTGTGAATTATAGGCTGGTGATCCTTTGCTCTATGTCTAAAATCCATATATGGGCGAGTTTCTCTTTTTGTGGCGGGGTTACCTCATTCAGGATGGTTTCTTCAAGTTCCATCCACTTGCCTGTGAATTTCAAGATTCTATTGTTTTTTTTCTCCCCTGCAGAGTAGTGTGTAAATGTGACACATCTTCTTTATCCATTCTTCAGTTGAGGGGCATCTAGGTTGCTTCCAGGTTCTTCCTATTACAAATAATTCTGCTATAAACATAGTTGAACAAATGTCTTTGTTGCATGGATGTGGATCATTTGGGTATATGCCTAAGAGGGGATTGCCGGGTCCTGTGGTAGACTGATTCCCGTTTTCCTGAGGAACTGCCATACTGATCTCCAAAATGGCTGTACAAGTTTTCACTCCCACCAGCAGTGGAGGAGTGTTCCCCTTTCTCCACATCCTCTCCAGCATAAGTTGTCATTGGTGTTTCTAATTTTAACCATTCTGGCAGGAGTAAGATGGTATCTCAGAGTTGTTTTGATTTGCATTTCCATGATAGCCAAGGATGTTGAGCACTTTCTTAAGTGTCTTCAAGCCTTTTTGATTTCCTTTATTGAGAGTTCTATACCCTATTTTTAATAGGGTTATTTGGTGTTTTGAGTTCTTTGTATATTTTGGAGATCAGCCCTCTGTCAGATGTATGACTGGTGAAGATCTTTTCCCAGTCTCTGGGCTGCCATTTGGTCTTGTCAACTGCGTCCTTTGCCTTACAGTAGCATCTAAGTTGGAGGAGGTTCCATTTATTAATTGTCGATCTCAGTGTTGTGGTACTGGGGTTATGGTTAGGAAGTGGTCTCCTGTACCAATTTGTTCTAGGGTACCTCCCACTTTCTCTTCTAAGAGGTTCAGTGTGGCTGGATTTATGTTGAGGTCTTTGATCCATTTGTACTTGGGTTTTGTGCATGGCAGTGCATCTGCAGTGTTCTACACACCATCATCCAGTTGTGCCAGCACCATTTGTTGAAGATGCTTTCCTCCTCCCATTGTATTCTTTTAACTGTTTTGTCAAAAATCAGGTGTTCATAGGTGTGTGGGTTAATATCAGGATTTTCAATTTGATTCCATTGGTCTACTTGTCTATTTTTGTGCCAATACCAGGCTGTTTTCAGGACTATAGCTCTGTAATAGAGCTTAAAGTCAGGGATGGTGATGCCTTCTGAAGTTCCTTTATTATACACATTGTTTTGGCTATCCTGGGTCTTTTGTTTTTCCATATAAAGTTGATTATTATTCTTTCAAGGTCAGTGAAGAATTGTGCTGGGATTTTGAGGGGGATTGCATTGAATCTGTAGATTGCTTTTGGCAAGATTGCCATTTTTACTTTGTTTATCCTACCTATCCAAAAGCATGGGAGATCTTTCCATTTTCTGGTATCTTCTTTAATTTCTTTCTTGAAAGACACAAAATTCTTATTATATATGTCTTTCACTTGTTTGGTAAGCATTACCCCAAGACACTTCATGTTGTTTGTGGCTATTGTAAAGGGTGATGTTTCTCCGATTTCTTTCTTAGCCCCTTTGTCGTCTGAATAAATTAGGGCTACTGATTTTTTTTTTTTTTTTTTTTTTTTTTTTTTTAGTTTATCTTGTATCCTGCTAGTTTGCTGAAGGTGTTTATCAGCTTTAGGAGTTCCCTGGTAGAATCTTTTGGGTCGCTTATGTAAACTATCATATCATCTGCAAATAGTGACAGCTTGACTTCTTCCTTTCCAATTTGCATCCCCTTGATCTCCTTTTGTTGTCTGATTGCCTTAACTAGGACTTCAAGTACAGAGCAGCCTCAGGAAGTTCCCTGAAGTTGGTGGGATTGTTGGATCTGCCCTCTGTTCCAGTGTTCAACCCGAGTGGTGGGATAGTGGGCAGGGTATAGCACAGGGTGGGGGCAGGGCAGTCTCTTTGTGGGGTGTGTTTGTGTATCAGAGCACCAGGAGCACCCTGGCTGGGGACAGGACACAGCAGGAAGGGAGATTCTGGTCCAATCCAGGGAGATCCCAGGGAAGAGTGAAGGGGGATTCAACCTGAACTGGTCTCAGACTCACCTCTAGCAGAGGCCAGGTGATGGGGGGGGGGGGTCAAAGATCTGGCAGGCAGGGACTCAGGATGGTCCCGCCAGGGTAGGTGGATCTCTGACAGGGGTGGTGGTGGTGGTGGGGTGCCAGAGCTCTCCAGCTGAGGCCTCTAGCAGAGGCCAGGCGATAGGGGGGGGGGTCAAAGATCAGCAGACAGCAACATTTTCTCTTGTTATTGTTTTTTTTTTCCTCTAGTTAACTGATAACATATTCTTCCCATATCCTTAGAGGAGTTTCATGAATTTTCCCCTTCTAAAATTATACTTAAAAATGAATTCATTTTAAGTAACATTCATTTATAATCTAAGGTGTTCCATCACATCTCTCTTCTTTTTCATGGTTCATCGATATTTATTAGGTATTATAGAAGATGTTAAAACAAATGAAAGTTATGAATCCTGTAGGTAAAGACCCTGCGATGTGCTACTTATACATAAAATTCAATGAGGAGACAGAAAATAAAGAACACTTCATGTAAATCCTCAGACTAATACAAATTTATATAGGTTGTTGATTATTTTCTATGCCTCCCCTTTTAGCCATCAAGTGGAACACAATAGTTATTCAAAGACACCCAAATGTAAACTAATACTATGTTAGACAAATCAAGATATAGAGTCACTCTGTCCTTAATTTTGCTTTAACTTTTTATTATGGATGTTTTCATATTAACCATAAGAATTAAGCTAATTGTGTAAGTACTTATCTTCAAACTTGGACAGATATCAACATACGGCCAATATTATCTTCTCTACCTCACCCCAGAACTCTTCACTCTATTTAAACCCAATCCAAAAACATTGCCTTGACTCATCAATCAGTATTTTCTCACCTGAATATCTCACTTTCAGCACCGCAGCTCTGATGGTCCAACTCTGCCAGGACACCATCTCCATCTCTAAATGTCAGCACCACTCCCTGATCAGCTCCAGGGGAAGAACCAGAACAAGAGTGTCTCATATTCAGTCTTTTTCTGCTCTGGACATATGGCTTCATATGGTTAGATGCAGATGCTGAAGCACTCATGGGAGTCACTCTTTTGCTGCTCTGCCTTAAGGTGTTTCTGTTCCCTAATGTCTGCTCACAAACTGGGTCCTCTCAGTACCTCAGTTCTCCAGAAGTGGTCATCCCCCTCAAGGTGACCAGCAGGGCCAGAAATGCAAAAAATTCAGGATGGCTCTCCTACAGCTTGATATTTGGGGGCCAAAGACATGTTGTCCACATGAGAGTCAAGAATCTGTTGCTTTCTACTCACTTCTCTGTGCTCTCCTACACAGAAGAATATGCCATTCTCAAGGAGTACCCCTTTGCCCCTAGTGACTGTTACTATCATGGTTTTGTAGAGGGAGTCCCTGAGTCTTTAGTTGCTTTCAGTGCCTGCAATGGGGGGTTTCAGGGAGTGTTACAAATGAATGGCTTCTCCTATGAAATCGAACCCATCAGGCACTCTAGAACATTTGAACATCTAATTTATACATTAAACAACAAGATGCAATTTCCACCTATGATGTGTGGTTTAACAGAGAAGATGATGACATACCAACACTTTGGACTTGGAGATGCTGAGATGACAGCTGTGAAGCAAAATTCTGGAAAATTGTGGACCCGCACATGGTTCCTGGAGTTGGCTGTAGTGGTAGACTATGGCTTCTACACTTACTCTCAAGGCAACTTGTCAAAGGTGCAAGAGGATGTTGTTCTCATTGTTAACATGGTGGATTCCATGTACAAGCAGCTGGATACCTATGTTACTTTGATTGGCATTGAGATCTGGAATCGAGGAAATGCCTTCCCAATGGAAAGCATACATCAGGTCTTAGAAGACTTTTCTCAGTGGAAACAAATCAGTCTTTCTCAGGTACCTCATGATGCAGCCCATATTTTCATTAGAAGCTCACTTATAACTGTACTTGGTATAGCCTATGTTGCAGGAATATGCCATCCTCCTCTTGACTGTGGGGTTGAAAATTTTCAAGGAGACTCCTGGTCTCTTTTTGCCAACACTGTGGCTCATGAGTTAGGCCACACTTTTGGCATGCAGCACGATGAAGAATTCTGTTCTTGTGGGGAAAGAGGTTGTGTCATGAGTACTTTCAGAGTACCAGCAGAGAGATTCACCAACTGCAGCTATATCGATTTTATGAAAACTACTTTAAACCAAGGAACTTGTTTGCACGATCATCCTAGACCAGGGCCAGTTTTTCTGGTGAAGCGCTGTGGGAATGGCATGGTTGAAAAAGAAGAGGAGTGTGATTGTGGATCTGTTCACGAGTGTGAACAAGATCCCTGTTGTTTGTTGAACTGTAACCTGAGGCCTGGGGCTGCCTGTGCTTTTGGGCTTTGTTGCAAACACTGCAAACTCATGATGTCAGGGGAACTCTGTAGACCAAAGGTCAATGAATGTGACCTTCCAGAGTGGTGCAATGGTACATCCCACCAGTGCCCAGAAGATGGCTATGTACAGAATGGGGTCTCCTGTGGTGTCAGTTCCTACTGCTATCAAAAGCAGTGTAATAACCATGACCAGCAATGCAGGGAGATTTTTGGTAAAGGTGCAAGAAGTGCATCTCATGACTGTTACAGAGAAATGAACTCTCAGGGAAACAGGTTTGGCCACTGTGGCACAAATGGAACAGTCTACCTAAAATGTAGAATGTCAGATATATTTTGTGGGAAAGTCCAGTGTGAAAATGTGGAAGACATTCTCCATCTCCAGGCTCATTCTGTTTTGCAGAACATTTATGCCAATGGTGTCACCTGCTGGAGTGCTGACCATCATCTAGGGATGGACGTACCTGATGTTGGTGAAGTGAAAGATGGCACCACCTGTGGAACAGGAAAGATCTGCGTACACAAGAAGTGTATAAGTTTGTCTGTCCTTTCAAATGCCTGCCTTCCTGAGACCTGTAATAGGAAGGGGATCTGTAATAACAAGCATCACTGCCATTGTGACTATGGGTGGTCCCTGCCTTTCTGCCTGCACAGGGGCTATGGAGGTAGTGTTGACAGTGGTCCAACATCTCCCAAAAGAAGAGTCAGTATTATTCAATTGTCAATAATTGTGACTGTTTTGTCTTTTCTCACTTGTCTGATAACTGCCAGACTGTATATACTATATCATTGAATACCTTCTGGTCCCAAAGAGACCAGAAGGCTTGTTTGCCTGGTTAAGAGGATATATCTAACTTAATATCCTATGCATTCATTTTGGCAACAAAAATATTATTGTATGTATGAATCTAAGCATATTTCTGGGAGTTTATAGAAAGATGATTCTTCACATTTATCAGTACCAAAAATATTTTCATCAGGTACAAGTAATTCTTAATGTGTTCTTGGCTGTTGTTTATTATCTCAAGCATCAAAAAAAAAACTTGAGAAATGATAATAACTGACCCACCCTACTGCTTGGATTTATTTAGTAATCAAAAGTGAAGAGGGAATCTTTGTTAATTGTTGTTCCTTTCATTAAAAACTCATGACCTGATGGCAGATATTATTCTGTACATGTTTCTCATTGGTGAGGTGGGGTCAAGAGACGAGAAGAATTCTGGGAGGTTAGGTAGAGGAGGAGTCGCCATATAGTGGAGGAAGGAGTAACAGGTCTGGACTCTTCTTTGGTAAGATAAGACCACGTGGACATACATAGATTAATAGACATGGATTAATAATTAAGACACCACTAGCCAAAAAGAAGCCCTACTCATCAGCCAACAGTTCATAATTAGCATAGCATCTGGGTGTTTATTTGGGGGCTCAAGGGTGGCGCCGGCAACGTGGGTTGTAAGAACTTCCAATAGAACCTGACAAAAACTTAAAAATGGATTTTAAAAACAAAAGAACAGAGGCAATCACAGCTTCCTGGTAGCAGCATTTTCTGAGGTGAGCTCTGTTTACCAGGCATTCTCCAAGACTGTTGGAGGCTTGTATTTGGCTCCTTTAAGAGCAGTTTTCTGACTCAGCATAAGCAACAAAAACTACCACAAGGCTCTTTTACCAAATTAATAAGCAGTGTTAATGAGCAGATAAGACTTGCATGACCAGAAAAAGATAAAGATTTACTGTTAAGACAGATTCAGGTGAAGAAAAAAACTCTAAAGGGTTAACAGTGTGCTTTTAAAAAATACATAGGCTTGAGAAACGAAAAAGGATAAGTGGTTAAAAAAAAAAAAAAAAGGAATAGAGTAGTGCTAGTAGTGGTGGTGCATGCCTTTAATCCCAGCACCCAGGAGGCAGAGACAGGCAGATCTCTGTGAGTTCAAGGCTAGCTGTACACTCTGGTGTACAGAGTGAATTCCAGGACAGGCAAAAGTACACAGAGAACCCCTTTCTCAAAAAATGGAAAAAAAAAGAAAGTAAAAAAAAAATAGAGTAATAAAATGCCATGTAAAGGTGGAAAATAGACAGAGGGTCTGGATACTGTATGCTATTATGTTGTCTTTAAATTGTTTGATTGCTGAGGAAAGAGCTATAGGTGCAAAAATACATTTGATTATAAATGCTGCTGGATTAATCCAATCTATATATTTTAAAAGTACCTTGACTTGATGTAAGTCTAAAAACATGTTACTTTGGAAAAAAGATTTTATTTGTGTTTCTACAGAAAATGAAAAGCTGTGAATTCCTTCCAGACTAATATGGTTTAATGAAGCAAGACCCCCTGAAGCAGTGGCCTGGGTGATTCAACTTCCAAGACACCTGGGAAGTCTGTCAGACACACTGTGGCCTATGGCTGAAGATGGATGCTTCAACGTTACTGAGGAACTTTGGATGACTGTCTAGGCAGCGAGATGTCTCTGTCAATTTTAGAGTTTACATATTATCCTTCTGTAGTCTTTGATGAAATTGAAGATAAATAGTTATGATAAAAGATAAGGTACATAAAACTGTAGACCCACAAAGATAGAATAGATGATAGAAAAAATTTTCTGAATGTTATTGAACTAAATATTGTGATTATAATTCTTGTTTAATAACTGTTTTGTTATATATAATTTGACTATTTTAAAGTTACAACCTTTCTTTTTATTTAGACAGAAATGAGGAGATGATGGAGGATGTTATTCTGTATGTTTCTCTTATTGGTTGATGAATAAATCACTGATTGGCCTGGCAGGAAGATAGGTGGGACTAGGAGATGAGATGAATTCTAGAGGAGAGGTAGAGGAGAAGTTGCAATGTGAGTCTGTGAAAATAGGACGAGAGTCAGGCATTCACCAGTAAGATAAGACCATTTCTGCTATACTGGCACTCTATAGAGCAGGCTGGCCTTGGTGGCAGAGATGGTGGCTATACATGGACTTGACAACATGAACTTTCATTTACTAAGGTTGACTTAGTTATGGTTTCTGCTAAGTTCCAGACCAACAGCAGAGAGCAGCACCAAGCCTTCAATATGACACCATTCCACAGGGTGACCAGCCAACAACCTGATGGCAGGTTGACTACATTGGGCAATTTCCTTCCAGGAGGATATAGTGCCTCCTTAGGTGTCATTCATATGTTGGTACTCTTTAAAAGTAAACTGAGTCAGCTGGGTATAAGTGGTGCATGCCTTTAGTCCCAGCACTCGGCACTTGCGAGCCCAAGGCCAGCCTGCTCTATAGAGTGCCAGTATAACCAGGCTACACAGAGAAACCTTGTCTCTCTCAAAATAACAACAACAACAAAAAAATAAAAACCCAAACAAACAAAACCAAAACAAAAAAGTAAGTTGAGTCCAAAAATCCTCATATATGCTTACTTATTGGTTTTGTTCCTCTAGAGAACATGGCTAATACAGGAAGCAATATTTGCCTTTCAATAACAACTCTGAAAATCAGTGCTCTCCATTCACCCATCAGAATACAATGACTAGCAAACTGGATTAGAAAACATCTATTTTTGCTGCTTCCAAGACATCTTATGGAAAAAGAATGCAAAAAAAAAAAAAAAAAAAAAATGTGGTCTAAGCAAATGGAACCAGTTAGCAAACAGGTGCTATTCAGTTATCTCACAAAACACAAAGCAGGCTTCATGGGCAAGAAGGCACAGTGGATAAAGGCACTTGCTGCCATGTATGAAGACTTGAGTTCTGTTCCCAGGAAGCACATGGTGGAAGAAGAGCAGTGATTCCCACTATCTGTCCTCTGACCTCCATACATATGTAAGTGCCCACATACAAGTGTCTCATACTTGCAACACATGCATACAAAATAAGTAAATTAAAATCCAATACAAATTACGAAACAATAACAACAACAGAAACAATATAGTCTTGAAACCAATTCCTTTTGTTTTGTTTTAGAGACAATGTCTCATTATGTAGTTTTGGCTGTCCTGGAACTCACTATGTAGATCAGACTGGCCTTCACAGAGATCAGCTTGCCTCTGCCTCCCAAGTGATGGGATTAAAGGTGTGCTTCACGAGATGCAGAAATCTACAACGAACCAATGGGCCAAGCTCCTGGAGTACAACCAAAGTGAGGGAGGAGCAATAATATGAACAAAGGAGTCAAGAACATGATTGGGAAGCCCACAGCATCAGCTGACCCAAGATAGTGAGAGATCACTGACTAAGGTCTGACAATTGGGGAACCTAAATAAGACCAAATCCCTTAATATAGATGACAGTGGTGTGACTAGGACAATATATGAGGCCACTGGCAATGGGTCCAAGACCTAATACTAATGCACAAACTGACTTAGTGGAGCCCATTCTATACGGAGAGATACCTTGTCCAGTCTAGACACAGGTGTGTGGGGGGTGGAGAGAGAGGTACCTGGTCCTACCTCAATGAGATGATGTAACGGACTTAGTAGACTTCCCAGGGGAGGCCTTACCCTCTCCATGGAGCAGATGGGAGAAGTAGGCAGTGAGGGGAGAGGGAGGAGGAGAGAGGAACTGGGATTAGAATGTAAAAAATAAATAAATAAATAGATAAATAAATAAGGTATGCTTTGCTAAGCCCAGATCAAATCAGTCTTGTCAGAGAGATAAAGTAGGTTGCTTCATACTGATCAAGGGATTAATCCATCAAGAAAATATATATTGTAAATAATATAAATCATATATAGGACATAATATATAAATAATCAGAAAACTCTAAAACAAATGGATGAATTTCTACATGGATACAATCTAGCAAAGCTAGATTTAAAAAGATTTACAACAACCAACATGATCAAGGCAGTAATTTAAAATCTTCCATTTAAGTAAATCCTAGAGACAGATAGATTCAATTCAGAATTTTACCAGACAAACAAGGACTAACACCAGTATTACTCAAAATATTCTATACTGGAAATGGAAGGAACACTTACAAAATCTTTCATACCAAAACAAGATAAATATTAACAACAACAAAAACAAGAGAATAATAAGCCAGTTTTCTTGATTAACACTGATACAAAAATTCTCAATAAAAATACTTGCAAAAGGAATTCAATAATATATCAAGATGTTTTTTTAAAATCTCAATCAAGTTGGCTTCTTTCAGCTGATACAGGGATTCCCTAGTGTACACAAATCAATAACATAATTCTCATAGAGCCTCAAAGATAGAAATATGATCATTTCAAGTGATATTTGAAAGGCCCTTGACAAAAATCCAACATGCATTGTGCTAAAGATCCTAGACAACCAGCCCTAGTGTCAGATATCTTTAATCCCAACACCTAGGAATGAGAGGCAGGATGATTCTGTGAGCTCCAAGCCTTTCTAGTATACATACCAGGTCATCAAAGAACTTCATAGTGAAACACTGTATAACTAAACAAAACGAAGAGAGACCCAAATTAAGAGAATCAGAAACAAGGAAATATAATATGAACAGGGAAATATTACAATAGACCTAAAAATTCAAAATTTATAATTGAATACTTAAAAAACATGTACTCCTTTTTTTGGGTGGGGGGAGGGTCCAGTCTATTTGGTGTTCGGTATGCTTCTTGTACTTTCATGGGCATGTCCTTCTTCAGACTGGGAAAGTTTTCTTCAATGATTTTGTTGAGTATGTTTTCTGCACCTTTGAGCTGGGCTTCTTCACTTTCCTCTATGCCTCTTATTCTTAGTTTTGGCCTTTTCACTGTGTCTCACATTTCCTGGATGTTTTGTGTTAAGGATTTGTTGGATTTAAGATTTTCTTTGGTCGATGAATTTA